GCCATTTGTTAAAGGCGAGATCACCTTCTCGTTTGGCGAGAAAGTTGTCTTGCTACATCGCAAATAGCGAGACCGTCGTCTCGACATTCCATATGGCGGTCCCGAACTTCAAAAATTCAAGACCGCCGTCCCGAATCTCAGATGGCAGTCCTGACTAAAAAATATTTTTCTATATATAGGGGCTTTTGGGTCAGTTTTAAAACACTTCATTCCTTCATCCTCTCATACATCTTTGAGTGTCTTTGAACAAAATGCAACAAGGAGAATCTTCTAGGCCCCGAAAGAGAGGTCGGGGATCCGAACAGAGCACTCCCGCACCACAGGCTCCACCAGACCCCACTCAACTCATGCTGCAACACCAGGCCAGGCTGGATCAAATTAGGAGCTACTCTTGGCACCCTATGTTGCGCCTAGACTTCGGCATCCTGGCCGAGTTCGGTTGGGAAGAGGATGTACGAGGCTACATCCACAACATCGAGTGGGACTTCCTCCTCCAGGACCCTCCGACCTGCATCTATAGAGAGGTCGTGATGGAGTTCCTCGCCTCCGTCACGATGGTTGACATGCCTGCGCTATTCTCGGGTGTCCCTCCGACGAGGATGATCTCGTACTACATGAACGGGACCCACCGGACGATGACGTTGGATGAGTTCAACGTCACCATGGGCTTCAACCAGCCCGCGGACACCCTGACACCGGAATATCGGGGAGCTATCTGTGAGCGGTTGGCTGCCCTCACAACCGGTGAGATATAGGAGGATCTCACCGGGTTGCAGATCCTACCGGCCCTGATGAAAGGGTCAGCACTCAGCTCTCCTCTCCGCATCTGCCACAAGCTATTGGCGAGGACGATCCATGCGCAGAAAGAGAGTCAGGGGAAGATCACTCAGCCCGATCTCTTCGTGCTACACTGCATGCTGCACGAACGCACGTGTAATCCCGAATACTTCTTTTTGAGGGCTCTGAAGGACTTCGGGAGCCACCCCGTTGGAGTCATCCTCATGGCTCCCCTCATCACCCCGCTGGCCGAGAGATGGGGATGCACCAACAAGGAGGACATTCCCTCCATCCTCCGTCAGCATGGGGAGGCTCGTCAGGCAGGGGTCCCAGGTGACCCTCCACCTGGCGCTCGCCATGACTCTGGACATCCAGGATCTGGATGAGTCGCAGGAGATCCCCATGCCCCCGGAGTTTGAGCAGCAGCAGCAGTACGGGGATGATTTTTCTAGCGTCCACCGTCACATGGATGACATCCACCAGCAGTTAGACTAGATGTCCCTGAGGCAGGATGTCTTCGAGACGCGGTTGGAGACTATCAGCTAGAGGTAGGAGGGAGTGATTCAGAGCCTAGATACGATCAGTCAGCATGTACTCGGCATGATCCGAAGCCAGGAAGAGTTTTAGAGGCACATGCTCCAGCAGTTTCCTCCTCCTGAGTCGTCTTCAGCCTCGCAGTCGAGCCCGTAGCCGCCTTAGGAACATCATTGTATATATAATTATTGTACAAAATTCATGATATATATAAATAAAATCTTTTGGTGAAGCTGTTTGTCTTTATTCTCTTCCGAAAAAGAAAAAGCTAGCGTAATAAAAAAAAACTAAAAAGTACAAAGGCTTACGCGCTATCCCAAAAAAGCCAAAATCCAAAATCGCGAGAAAAAAGAATAAACCGCGGAAAAATGTGAGATTAAAAATCCCAAGCATTAGCCATCATTCTCCCAACAAAGAGAAAAAGGTAAACAAGCAAAACGCCCGCCTGCTTAGAGGCATTACCTAAAATCAACAAAATCCTCAGCAGATTCTTGCCTATGTAAAAGGCACTCACCAAAAATCCCCGACAACCAGCAAATTTGGATGACCGCTACAAAAACTCAAAAACAAAGAATCCCCAGCACTCAACCAGCTGGAAGAAGACCAATAAATCCCTGGCACACCGAAAGACTTCATCAGAAAAGTCAAAATAGAATATCAAGCAGAAACACTCCCCATAGAGTCGGCGCATGAGCTAGAGCAGTAAGCCACCACCACCACCAGTCCTACAAAGTGGACTGCACCAACCGAATGGGGGTTCATACTCATCAACCGAGGGGTCGGCTATTGCAAGAAGGAGCATTGTGAGGTTCTACCACTTGTCAGTCGAGGGGTCGGCTACCGCAAGAAGGAGCATCCCAAAGCTACAAGCAACCGGATGGGGGTTCATACTCATCAACCGAGGGGTCGGCTACCGCAAAAAGGAGCATCCTGAGGTTCTACCACTTGTCAACCAAAGGGGTTGGCTACCGCAAGAAGGAGCATCCCGAAGGTTCACACCTTTTTGTCCAAAGAGGTCGACTACCGCATGAAGGAGCATCCCAGAGGCACACACATTTATCAACCGAGGGGTCGGCTACCACAAGAAGGAGCATCCGAAGGACGACCAGGCAAGAGGGTTAACTCCTTCACTTGCCAACCGATCTCGTTGGCATATTAAGCCAACCGTCGATTAGTCAAGTGAAGGGGGGGCAATTGTAGACCCCAAATCTTTCCCGACCTCAAAATAAATAGTAGAAGACTTTCTTTCAAAGATGGGTAAGGCCTAAAAGGTCCCTAGGATTGATCAATAGGCCCCATATTAGAATAGGAAGGATTTTTGTAAAAGAAAAATAAGAAATTTTACTCAAAGGGTCGAGACCGCTGTCTCGTTTGGCGAGACCGTCGTCTCATTTGGCGAGATCGTCGTCTCGCTGTTGGCTAAGGGCGAGACCGCTATCTCGTTTGGCGAGACCACCGTCTCGCCACTCGCCAATGGCAAGATCACCATCTCGTTTGGCGAGACGGCTGTTTTGCCACTTGCTGAAGGCGAGACTTCCATCCCGTTTGGCGAGACGGCGGTCCCGACCTGACAGGTGCGAATTCCTATAAAAGGGGGGACTTTCTCACTCTTTTCACATACTTCTACCACTTTCCCTTTTGTAATATTCTCAAATTACTCTCCTAGGACCCCTCTGAAGTATTTCCAGAGTTTCTTAGAGTTCTTAGAAAGCGTTTTATAGTACTGCGAGAAAGAGCGATCATCATTGTAAAGCGTGGGGATTGCCAAAAAGCACCCTCTTTCAAGAACATACTATAAAAGCTTGCTTCGAAGGTTTCTATATACTCCCTTCTCTATTTTATTACTTTTTAGATAATATCGTTGTGCATTAGTCATTTAGGGCCATGTAGTCAATAACTTAATTTCCGCCATGAATAAATAAAGGTAAAAGAGCAATTTTAGAGTCATTATTTCTTTATAAAAACGGTCCATCATAGGAAACTCGAAAGGGGTGTCGTAGGGAAGCTAATACCTTCCCTACACGTAACTAAGTCCCTTACCTAACTCTGGTTGTAATGACCAAAGTTGGTTTTTCTTTAAGAAACCACTACCTTCATTTTCCTTTTCCAATGTTTCTGGTAAAAATATTGGTGCCGACTCCTCGAACCTTTCAAAAACTTCGCTCTTAGGTTCAGCCCGGTTATCGGACAACCTAAAAAGCATTGAACCACACTTTTAAAAACGTGAGTCAAACAAAACCATCGCGTCGCTCCAACCGCCTCTTTTGACGGTAGCGACACACTACTTCCCGAATAAAATGATATCTTATTCCTATGTGTTTAGTCCTGGAATGAAATGCTAGATTTCTTGCAATGTACAAGGCACTCTGACTGTCACAATACATAACAATTTGTTATTTCTTATACCCGAGTTCCTCCATTATCTTCCTAATCCAAATAGTTTCCTTACATGCTTGGATGAGTGCCATGTACTCAGGTTCTATGGTAGACAGAGTTATAACATCCTGTAACTTGGATAACCAACTTACTGTTCTTCCTGCAACGGTAAACACATAACCAGTAGTAGATCTCCTTTTATCTAGATCACCTGCAAAATCTAAATCAACATAATCTCTGACAGTTAGTTCTGATCTTCCATAACATAATGCAACACTTGATGTTTATATTTTAGTTGTGTGTGCTTATATTTTTATCTGATACCTAACAACAATTTGTTATTTGTTATTTGTTATTGATGATGAATTTTTAAACATTGGTTGCTTAAGCGCGGTTCTGTCATTATTTAAAGAGGTTACAACTTAAGTGACTCTTTCTCACTTTGTACTTAGGTTGCTTAAGTGCGACTTTTTTTTTCTTAAGTGATGCTATGCTTACTTTAAGCTATTATTTTTATATATTTACTTGTTTGTTTGCTTCATTTGGTAGATGACAAAAACTAAGATATCAGTGCAAATACTAGAGGGAGTTTGTGAAAGAAAACATAATTGGGCAACATTGAAAAGGAACTCCTCCATAAATAATAACGGTAGAAATAGTGAGAAAACGTTAGAAGGAGAGTGCTTTCCTGCTCAGTGCGAATACTATTCATTTGTTTTTTCAAAAATTAAAACTTGGAAAAATGACATCTGGCTTAAGGAAAGTGAAATTCACACTTAGAGCAATCACCACTAAAATTAAACTTGTTTTACATCGAACTAGTCGCGTTTAAGCTTGAACAAGTATCCGCTTGAGTGAATATAATTGAAATGTACTTTTTCGCTCAAGTTTTTCCTACTTAAACGTTTTCTCACCCTTAAGCTGTTTGCAACAAATATTCAAATTTCAGGTTTATATATTTGTTTTACAGTTATATATCCCGCTTGAAGAATTATGAGAATAATGCCACTTAACGTAATTTGTCTCTTGCTTAAGTCTTCTCAATATCCACTTAAGCGACTATGTTATTGTCATTCGTTTTAAGGGAATTTGTTTCCGCTCAAATGACATTTTGTGATAACATCATTTCTGTCAAAAAATATCACTAATTATAAAAAATTAAGTTTGTAAAAACATTAATGATGGACTATTCACTGACAAAATAATGTCACCACAAAATTTCATGTCAATTTTAGTGAAAAAAAATTTGTGCTGACATATTCAGTAATATATTTTTGTTATCACATTTCTTCTCAAATTCCTTTAGTTGTCACATGTCCTTGCAGTTTGTGATGACCTTTCGGATATCACAAAATTTCATCGCAGAAAAAAAAAAAAAAAAAAAAAAAAAAAAAAAAAAAATATATATATATATATATATATATATATATATATATATATATATATTGAAAAATCGTTATATTAACAATTGAGTTTTTGGATAATATGTCAACTAGCAAAAACGATTCAAATATGTTATTATTTTTAATAAAATAGGTCTAGATTATCTAATAAGTAAAATAATAATAAAAAGTATTGGATACGTTCTTTGATTGTATGTTTTTATTTCAAAACTTTTACCCCAAAAAAAATTATGAAAGGTAATTTTTTTACCTTAAAGTTGCCTATACTGACCACAGCCTATATAACTACCTCTGTGAAGAAGGTGACACTTTCCTCTCCCATTTACTGTTTTAGTTAAAATTACTATATTAAAATTTAATAAAATTGTTAATATAATTTTTTCAAAATTAATATTAAAACTAAAAATATTAACTAATTATTAAAAATTATAATAACAATAAATAATTTCATTTATTATGAAAGTAACTAATTTTATTTATAATAACATATTTATTTTATTTTATTATAATAAATCAATTATTCATCCAATTAAAAACTATTAAATATTTATGAATTAAATTAATTTTTATTTAATAATTGAATCTAATTATAATTAGATTAAGTTATGAAGATTCATCATATTAGGTAATTTAATTTTTTTATTAAAAATTACTTTAAAATAAATATTTAATTTTTTTCTTAATAATTATAACAATAATTTGTAATATCTCAAATTTCTAATATAATATTTTTTTTAATTATAATATTTTTGAATAATTTAAATATTTTTATTTTTAGAAATAATACAAGACTCATTTTAAAAAATTTAATTTATTATTTTTAATTAAAAAAATAAGATGAGTGACAAAAGAACAAGAGAAAAAAAAAGACAAGTACAGGTAAAAAAAATAATAAAATAAACAAGAGTAAAAAAAATAAAAAAAATAAGAAAAGAGAGGAATCAAAAGAATTTATTTTCCATTATTAAATTTGTGTATAAACAGAAAAATAGGTATAGTTTAGTAAATAAACTTACAAAATTTATATTTAAGTAATTTTTTATTTTAAATATATTATTTAATAAATTATTCGTTGTTTGATTTCATTTCAATTTAAATGATAATAATAATAATAGATTTATAATAATAATTAAAATATATTAAATATTATAATAAATAATAATATTATCTTTATTATTATTATTTTATCTTTATTTTGTTTTCTTTTTCTATTTCGATACGTTCATGTGTATCATATCGCTTAGAAATCGAGATCAATAATAATTTATATACACCTTATTGTTTTAACTCGTTGAAGTGTCTTTTAAAGATAAAACCGTAATGAACTAAAACTTTAAAATGAACAATACTTTGAACATAGAAATTGACCCTAACAATATCTTCATAGAGGATATAAGGTCAAGACATTTCTCATTCTTAGATGGTACATTTTTGTGGAATGGAAGATAGAGTCTCGACACTCACGAGTCTCAACATGTTATCATATATTAGAAAATAAAATAAATATATAAAAATAAAATAAAGATAATAATAAAATAATTAAAAAATATAGAAATAAGAAACAAAATAAAGATCATAAAAGAGTAGTAAAGATATTATTATTATTTATTATCCATATTTTATAAAAAAATTATTATTATTATTAACTTTTATAATAATACTTATTTTAATTATTATTATTATTATCATTCAAATTGAATTACTAATTACAATTGAATTGTAATTGCATTTGATGAAAGATGTATTTGGATAAGATATTTTATAATTTTTAGAAAATTTAAATGGATTAAATTTGAATTTCATCTAATTGAATTGCAATTGCATTTGATGAAAGATGGATTTGGATAAGATATTTTATAATTTTTAGAAAATTTAAATGGATTAAATTTGAATTTCATGTATTTAAAAGGATTTAATTTTTTAAAATAATTTATTTTAATGAGACAATCAAATTTGTTGAGATTTATTTTTTTTATTTAGATAAAATATTTTAATTACTATTAAATATAAAAATTACTAAAATTATTATTATTATATTATGAATTAGGTTTACCTTTACACTTATTTAATCAAATTTAATTAATAATTATTGAAAATTATTATTGTAACGTAGAATTACAATTATTTAGTTTATAAATAGGTCAATTGTAATTTAATAAAAGACATACATTTTGAATTTTGAATCAAAATTTTAAGTTTTTTCTTAGAGGAACTTTTATAGTAGTTTGAGTTATATAAGTTCATTTTAATTTCATTAGGATAACTTGTGGTAATCCACCCATGACTTATCACTTATATATTTTTTTTAGTGTAATGTCAATATTCTTTCCAAATTAAATATCAAAATAATCTTATTTTTATTTCACAACATTAACCTTGTTCACATGGGTAAGATTAGATCATAACAAACTAAATAGAGTTAAGTGAGATTGAGACAAACCAAATTAATAAGATTGGGTTTGATCAAGACACATTATACTAAGTTGAGAGGGTTGAGTCAAATTAGGTTAGATTGACATACTCACAAGTTAGACCATGATGAGTTGGGTGAGGGTTGAGTCAAATTAGGTTAGGTTGACATACTCACAAGTTAGACCATGATGAGTTGAGTTAGATTTAAACGAGTAAAGTCAGGTCAAGTGAATAAGAAAAATTAAGATTAAATAGATTGAGTCAAGTTAAGATATGATAGGTTAAATTAGGAGAGGTCAAATCAAGATTAATAGTATCAAATCAAGATGAGTCAAGTTAGGATAGTTTGAGTCGGAGTGGATCAAACCTATTTAAGTTGTTGTGTTAAATTAGGAAATGTTAGATTTAAGTTATGATAAGTTAAGTTGAGATAGGTTGAACTAGGTTGATATAGGTTAGGTGATGTCAATATATGATGAACTAGATCGAAAGTGTTTTGGTCATAATGGTTTAATGATGGTAAGAAGTGTTGATTGATTTCAACTAAGTGAACATGGGTCGAGTCCATACTAAAATATGTTTATTTGGGTTGAGTTGGGTTCACTTGTATTAAAACAAGTTGAGATAAGTCAAAAATATCTTAATTGAGATTAAACTAAAAAGAAAATATAAATAGAAGAGACAAAAATTGAAGAGGGAAAAAACAAAAAATATTTTAATTCTTACTTTTTTTTTTTAAGTAAAATTTGAAATGATCTTATTTTTAAATTATCAAAATACCCTTGTCAATTTATAAAATTTTAATTATTTTGTAAATTCTTTATAAAAAACTAATTTTTTCATGAAATATTTAAAATATTTTATTAAAATGATTATATTTTATAAATTTTTCATCAGATAAATCATTCTGCAATTGAATGGAATAACATTTTGATCCATCTATCCGAAAAATTTCTAAATTAATCAATATGAAACTTTAATAAATACTATTTTTATATATTTTAGATTGCTTTTTTTTAAAAAATGTTACACGTTCCGAATTCATGCGAAATTTTTACAGATTTATAATTCGAAAACTCCAAAATATGGAAACATGTAGAAATAATAGGAATACAAATATTTTTAGAACCGAAAAATAATTCAGTAGAAAATAAAGGTGAACTGAATTTGGCCCAACCAAATCTCTTAAAAAGGCCCATTTATTTACACATTAGAATAGGCACTTGAAGCAAACTACTCTCTTGTGTTCTCATAGTCTTCCTAGGGTAACCACCACTTCAACAGGTGCAGCCATATTCAACTATTTTCTTCTCTTTCAGGTTCGCTTGCATCTCCTTTCACTCTCATTCTTATTCTGTCTATATTTATCGCACTCTAATTTTATTCTGCCTTTCTTTCAAACTATCGCGTTGTATTGGATTCTCTATACTACTCATATTCTTTCCAGTTTTATCGATGCTCAATTCGTGATTTTATATGCTGTTTAAGGGGTTTTCGCGTCTTGTATACGCTGATTCAATTATCGTTGTTTTGAATCAGTTTCTCATTAGTCGATGTTGACATGATAGTGCTGTCATTAGTTGAACCCTCTGTTTATGAATGTGTTCTGTTTATTTTGATTCCAATCCCCTGAACCGTTAACTGATATGTTGAAAATTTTTCACTTTACATATCATCTTGATTGTTGTTTCGAGCTGGAATTTTGTTTAATTTTTCTCTGTTGGTGGTGCACGGTAAGGGTTTAAGGATTCTCCAAAACCTCTTCACACCAAGTTCAAAGCTTTTTGCTTGTTGTTTTTCAGATGGCTTTTATGTCTGGATTCCAGCGTATGCTTCGTCACACCCCACTTCTTCATTCCCATCATGCTTCCATTCGTCTCAGCTCAACTCTCACTTCTCCCAAACTTTTCGTCAGCGGTGAGCTACTAATTGTTTGGTTATGGATTCTAATTGATATTTTCAAACTCCATTATTTTATATATAGTTGTGATGCATTATGTTGTGCGATAAACTGTTGTGTGAATGGTAATTTGTTTTTTCATGCAGAGGTTTGTCTTCAAACTAATGTTGCAAATTCAACATACCCATTTTAACATGCATTTACTTGATATTAAAATCCGACTTGAGATTTTGACTTGCCCTAGTTTTATGTTTTGTCTAATTGCATTCCATCCTTGGAGGATTTCTTAACAGGACTTTGTTTGACCATAAGTATATGATGGAGTAAAAGAGAAGAACCCACTTCTTAGAAAAACGTCTATCCACTAAGAATTGAGGGAAGTGAACTTTATAGGTTGTGACAAACTTGACAATTTGTTATACATTTAATTGGTCTTTGTCACAATCTTAACCATTGTTACTTTATCTGCCCTTTATGGGAGCTGGATCCCTTGGATAAATACATATTCTGCTGAACATAATACATTTAAGTGTTGTTTTCTCTTGGTTCTCTGGGTTAAGAACAGAGATGTTGAATAGGTTTCTTATACAAATACCCAGTTGCAACTTAAGAATCATTTCTTAGTTCAAGTCATGGATATGGATACAAATACCCTCTGGCGGAATATTTTTAAACTTGGCCAAAAAATAGTCACACTTGGGGAGTGGTTGCTCATTATCGGAAGTGGTTCATGGGTATATCCATGAACCAAAAATATTGTTTTGATTAAGGTTGGCAGCAAGTTAAGATTATGTGTACAAGTCAATTATTTTAAGGGAAACTTTTGGTTTGCTTTGTCACAGCATTAATTTCCTTGCGTTTTGTTTCACATATCTATCCTTTTTCGAGGTTTTTCTTTCTTAGAAATTCAGTGTCTATAAATCTCTATAATTCTCTTCCCAAAAAGATGGGAGTTGGCCTGTGTGAACTAATTGATGGGCCATCAACAACATAATTATATAGGCATCCTATCCTTAGACTTGATAACTTGCTTGATGAGCTCCATGGTGCTATCATATTTTGCAAGATTGATTTGAAGAGTGATTATAATCAAATAAGAATCAAAGAAGGATGTTTACTTTGATGACATCTTGATTTATAGTTTGTCTAAGGAAGAACATATGCATCATTTAAGAAGTGTACTTGAAACACTTAGGAAAGAGACTTTGTATGCAATTAGGGAGAAATGCATCTTGTTTTGTTTGCTTTTATTTGTCTTATTGTCTAAGAAAAGCATTGTATATCCTGTTTTGTTTTTTGTTTGAATTGAATGATGGAAAGTGAAAGATTGAAAAAGGAAAGAAAGGAAGAGAAAGAGTAAGAAATGAGTGAAAATAAAAGTTGTTTAAATTAGATGAAATGAAGAGAAATGAGAAGAAAGCACTTTTTTAGCATAATATTGAATTTCTACTGTCAAGAATTTTCTTATAAAGATTACGCACTTCTTTATGGCTCATGTTCATTTTTGTGATCTTTAAAGGGACCTTGTTTTATGGTCTATTTGGCATGAATTTTAATGAAGTTATATTCTACCTTTTGGCACTATTGTATAAAATATCTAGGCGCATGGTATATATGAAGTTATCTAATAATGCGTGCATGTGAATTATTTTTTAAATCCTTTTGCTGGTTAAAGAATTCAAATATATTTATCGCTCTAATTATATGGTTCTCCATTTAACATTTGTAAATGTAAATATTGTGCATTCGAACAGGTCTCTCTAGACTGACAACAGATGAAAAACTTAAGGAAGCATTTTCTTCTTTTGGGCAGCTTGTTGAAGGTAACAATGAGTTTTATTCCTCTCTTTGTTTGAAGTATGTTGTGCGAGGCCTTCAGTTCATTTTGTATTTTTTATTATACAGCCAAAGTGATAACTGATAGAGCCTCTGGAAGATCAAAGGGATTTGCCTTTGTGACTTATACAACCATAGAAGAAGCAGAAAAGGCGAGAGAAGGAATGAATGCTAAATTTTTGGATGGATGGGTTATATTTGTTGATCCTGCCAAAGCTAGAGAGCCTAGACCTCCTCAGCAATCACAGTCCCACCCCTCTGAATCAGGTTTCACCGTTAACAAAACGATTGGGTGGTGTGGTTGAGCAATAAACAAACTTAAATTATGCTCACATATTTGGATGATATTTTAAAGATAAATTCAAATCAGCTAATTATACTACAATTTGTTGAAGAATATTTGTATTAGTCAGTCAAAGTTGATGATTGGAATTTATTAGGTCTATTATGCAAATTTTGCTGCTGTGATATTCATCCAACTTGAGTGAAGTCTTATATGAAACCAGCAATAACTTTGAGAAAGAATTTGACTCAGCTACACGGGCAGTCATTTCTTGTCTTGAATCATCAGAATCTCTGTTTTTTATTGGGTTAAGTACGAATCTAGACTTTAGCAACACCATTGATAAAAAAACACAAATACACCAATGGAACAAACATAATGTCATACATAGCTGGTTTCCAAACCAAAAAAAAAAAAATAGCCACTTTGAAAATACCTGGTTAAAATTAATGTCAGGTAGATAGTAATGACACCATCTCTCAACATTTTTCCCACATTACAAATAAAAATGCAAATATTGATCGCATATGCTCTTCAGAACATCAAACAACCTTCACCGTTCAATCCCAGTTTTACTTATTTTCACCGTATAAGCCAACAAGAAATATTGTTTATTTATGTATATTGTAGGAGAGGATACAACATTCAGTATTTTATTTTTTATTTTTTTTTTTTTTTTTTTGGAAAAATGGATAATTTAATCCTTTTAAACGTACGGAAATTTTATTTACTCATTAAATTTAAATAAATTGAAATAAAGTTTTTAAAAAATATTAGTTATTTCTTATAATTATTTTTCATTTGAAGTAGTTTTTTATATAATTTTTATTTCAAGTAAATTCTTATATACTATCATTATAATATAATATAATTTATATATGTGATGATTAAATTAAATTTTAATGATAATTTGCTGAGAAATATGTAAAATGGAAAATAAATATAAAAGATAAAAGTGATTTATAGAGGTTATTTATTTTCTTATTAATATTTTAGGATTAAATAAAAAAAAGTATTAAAAAGACTATTCAAACTTATTGTTCAAGAAGCTAGTTCCTCAATGTGAATCTGAATACGAACGTCAAAAGCATCTATTTCAGTAAAAGCAACAAGCATCAACTACAAGAATCCATCGACGACTTTTAGTGCAAATCAGAAGTTCCACCTAGCTTGCTAAACCTTGCTTTTGATGAATTTCCCTTTTGACCCTTCTTACCATTCTTTTTCCTGGATTTCTGTTGCTTCTTTTGCTCTTACAATGTGGATCATCTACATCAGGTGACTATTTTACATTCACTTTGTTCTCATGCAGCATGGGGTGTCAAAGTGAGTCAACCCGGCTCACCGGTTGATATGAAAATAGTTGAACTCAACTTGATTCATTTTTTGGTGAGTCAGAAATTTTCAACCCAGGTTAGTGGGTCCCACTAACCCATATTTTTTTAATTATATAGAAACTTTGGATGTAGAAACTTATGTTTTCTTTCTTTCTTTCTCAACATCAGTATTTTCGTTATTAATCGAAATTAGCTCATTAGGTTTTTCATTAATAATAAAATCATCACCAATACAATTTACTTTGACACTTTGATGTATTGTTTCGATTCCATACTCGTAAATTAATTTAAAAGAAAGAAGTCAAAAATTCATATATTAAAGAGATATATGTATAAATCAATAACAAACAACAAATAATGTATATATGCTACAATTTTCAAATAAAGATTCATTAATCCTGTTAGATATTGTTTAGATATTATTTGATATTGTTAAGATATTGTTAGATACTAGTAACCACAATATCAAACAATATCTTTTGTTTATTCTGTTACTTTCAGTTACTCTTTTAGTTGTATCTCTCTACTATAAATAGACCACCCTATGTGTGATTTATACACAAGGGAAATTAATTTCAAACCCTATTTTCTCTATATTCAACATGGTATCTAGAGCTTAAGGTTATCTTGAATTTTTTTTTTCTTCCGCCTTTTGTCCACTGTTGGAGCCGCCCCACCGCTGCTAGAGTCGCCCCACCGCTGCTGGTAAACTGATCCTCCACATCAGAAAAGAATTATCTTTGTCATTGAATTTTATTTGGTAGTGTGAAAGTGCATGTTTAGAAAAGTTCTGGCAAGGAAAGACTTGGTATTTAAGTGTGTCCATTAGTGACCCACCTCTCTTTCCTGGGAACTTACCTGGTGTACTAGTTCACGTTACTGTCACCGCTGTCGCTGGAGCAGTCACCGGGTCCGCCGTTGTCGGAGAATTCGCCGGAGTTTCATTTTTTTTTACCGGTGACATATGATTTTGCTTGTCTCGGTCAGGTGACCACCGTGCCATTGAGATCACCACTATCGGAGTTGGTCGTCCCATTGTCTCCTGCACCGTTTACTCTTGGTGAACTTATTTTTAGTATTCTCATTTTGGATTTGTGCTTTGGGTTAATTGGATTACTTTGGATTGTTTTAGGGTTTGTTCTCCCGCTCTTCATGACTTCTTCCACTATTTCCAATTTTGTTAACGATTCTTTTGTGTTGACATCCCATCGTGATGAATGGGCTCGCCCTCGCAAACAGGAAAAAGGGCGTCCTAAGTGTGAACATTGTGGCAAGCTAGGTCACAAGATTAACAAGTGTTATACATTACATGGTCGTCCTCCTCAGTCTGCTGTAGTTGTTCAGACAAATCTTTCCCCACCTTTATCTGCAGGGGATCTTCCTTCTTCTGTTGCATCCGACATGTCTGCTATGTTCAACAAATTTCTCGAATGGTATAAGGATCAACAGTCTTCTAGTTCCACTATATTTGTCACACATACAAATACATATTTTGCTGGTCTGACCCAATCATTTTCTCCTGGTCCTTGGGTTTTTGATTCAGGAGCCACTGATCATATTACTGGTAACAAATCTTTGTTCTCCTCTTTATCCTCTCCTAATCATTTACCTTCTGTTACACTGGCTGATGGCTCTAGAGTATCATCTCATGGTGTTGGAATGGTTAAACTTTTTCCTTCTTTAACCATTGATAATGTTCTTTATGTCCCTGGGTCTCCTTTTAACCTGTTGTCCATCAGTCGTCTAACTCGTTCTCTTGATTGTGTTGTTACTTTTACCAACAATTCTGTGTGTTTACAGGACCGAAGTTCGAAACAGGTGATTGACACAGAATGTGAGTCTCATGGTCTTTATTATCTCCGTTCCTCTACATATGTTAGTACAGTTATGGAGTCTTCCTCTCTTCTTCATGCTCAGTTAGGTCATCCAAGTCTTGCCAAGTTACAGAAACTTGTCCCTGCCTTGTCCAACTTATCTAGTTTGGCGTGTGAGTCATGTCAATTAGGCAAGCATAGTCGTACTTCCTTTCCTCGTAGTTTCACACGTGGTGCTTCGTCCCCTTTTGTCGTGGTTCACTCTGACATTTGGGGACCTAGCCGCGTTAAGTCTACTTTAGGTTTTCAATACTTTGTTACTTTCATTGATGATTATTCCAGATGCACTTGGTTATTTTTGATGAAAAATTGTTCTGAATTATTTCATATCTTTCAAACTTTTTTTAATGAAATTCAAACTCAGTTCGGTGTTTCTATTAGAGTTTTGCGTAGTGATAATGGCCGTGAATATCTTTCTCATTCTTTTAAACAATTCATGGCTTCTCACGGTATTTTGCATCAAACTTCTTGTGCTTATACACCTCAACAAAATGGTGTAGCTGAACGTAAAAATAGACATCTTATTGAAACAACTCGCACACTTTTAATTCATGGAGATGTTCCTCAACATTTTTGGGGTGATGCTCTTCTTACTGTATGTTATCTCATTAATCGCATGCCTTCTTCGGTTTTAGATAATAAAATACCTCATTCCATTTTATTCCCTCATGAACCACTTCATTCTTTACCTCTAAAAGTTTTCGAGTCTACATGTTTTGTTCATAATTTCAGTTCTGGTCTGGACAAACTTTCCCCTAGATCACATAAATGTGTTTTCTTAGGGTTTACAAGATCACAAAAAGGATACAAATGTTTTTCTCCTTCTCTTAACCGTTATTTTGTGTCAAAAGATGTCACCTTTGATGAGTTGTCTCTTTATTTTAAAAGTCAAACTTCACCTCTGTCTCCATCCAATCTTGTCAACACTCCTAATACATTTAATGTTCCCGTTGTTTGTGACCCTCTAACCGTGTCTTCTTCACCATTAGTTCCTCGCTCCGCGATCGGTTTCTTCTCCACCGCCTCTTCGATTTATAGTTCTCGAAATCAATCACAACCACCACCATGTGACTCTACTCAAGTGCCAACTACTCTGTCTCCTCCGGATCTGACACATGAGTCTGACCTTCCCATTGCCCTCCGAAAAGGTATTCGTTCTACACGTTATCCCTCTCCCCATTATATTGCTTTGAGTTATCATCGACTGTCATTACCTTTTTATACATGTCTTTCCTCTATTTCTTCTGTGACCATTCCAAAAACTATCCATGAAGCTTTAGCCCATCCTGGTTGGCGACAGGCCATGTTAGATGAACTAAGTGCTCTTCATAATAGTGGAACTTGGGAATTGGTCCCGTTACCGTCTGGGAAATCTGTTGTTGGTTGCAGGTGGGTGTTTGCTATCACAGCTTGGACTCGATGGTACTATTGATCGCCTCAAAGCTCGTCTTGTGGCCAAAGGTTATACTCAAATTTTTGGGTTGGATTATGGAGATACCTTTTCCCCGTGGCAAAGATGACTTCGTTTGTTTATTTATCGCCATGGTCTGCTCTTCAACAATGGCCTCTTTATCAACTGGATGTTAAAAATGCTTTCCTCAATGGTGATTTGCAAGAAGAAATATATATGGAGCAACCTCCTGGGTTTGTTGCTCGGGGGAGTCTTCCGGGATGGTATGTCGTCTTCGCAAATCCCTATATGGCCTAAAACGAGTCTCCTAGGGCTTGGTTTGGAAAGTTTAGCAAGGTTGTTCAACAATTTGGTATGACTCGGTGTGAATCGGATCATTCTGTCTTTTATCGACACTCGA